TTCCGAATAGGATTCCTTGCAAGAAAAGGGAAAAGTTGACAGCTGTGTACCAGACTCTGCCCAGCATGTTGTCAGAAAGGAGGAGGCAGGGAGGGTGTGAAAGGGGGCAGCCATAGCCGGGTCCTTTGGCCAGGGCCCACACTGCATGTTTTATGGCACATTAGCGGCAATTCTGATGCTCGTCCAGCCTGCAGGGTCAGGAGCATTGGAGGCGCACCATGTTTATTCAGTGGGCCTGAAACTTACTGGCATTCCTCTGCACGTCCCTTCTCTAGGGTCTCATCCACACCTTAAAGCACTCTTCTATAACTTTAACCATCATGGCTTCCCTTAATACAGATGTTAAAGTAAGATTATTTGCCCCAAAGGGCATCACTTTTACATTTTTTTACATTGAATTGCATTTGTCATTTTACTGCCTGTTCACCCACTTTGGAGAGATCCCCTTGGCACTCCTCACATCCCTTTCTATTTGAGCCACCCTGAACAATCAACAAACTTATCAACAAACTTGGTCGCCTCACCACTGACGCATGACACTCTATTGTTCCATGGAGGACTCCCTGGAGAGTCCTTCCATTGGGTGAACTCTCCTACTCTGTTTTCTGTTTCCTAACTGGTTACTGATCTACAAGAGGACCTCTCCCCTTATTCTATGACTGCTAAGCTTACTCAGGAGGACTCTGGTGAGGGACTTCATCTGAGCACGGTCAGAAAGAGGAATATTTGGCTACATCTAACCTCCATGAATTGGGACGCGGGTGGCACTGTGGGTTAAACCACAGAGCCTAGGACTTGCCGATCAGAAGGTTGGCGGTTCAAATCCCCATGACGGGGTGAGCTCCTGTTGCTCGGTCCCTGCTCCTGCCAACCTAGCAGTTCGAAAGCACGTCAAAGTGCAAGTAGATAAATAGGTAGCGCTCCAGCGGGAAGGTAAACGGCGTTTCCGTGCTCTGCTCTGGTTCACCAGAAGCAGCTTAGTCATGCTGGCCACATGACCCGGAAGCTGTATGCCGGCTCCCTCGGCCAATAAGGTGAGATGAGCGCTGCAACCCCAGAGTCGGTCACGACTGGACCTAATGGTCAGGGGTCCCTTTACCCTTTGCCTTTAACCTCCATGATCTCATTCAGCAGGGCTCCTCTTATGTTCTTACAGCCCGTTTGTTCGCCCTTTTCCTAGATAGCCCGTGTCTCTATGTGTGGAATGAAGACAGTCATCTAAGGGGAGACTTGAATTCTCTGCTTCCTGGACTCCAGACAAGAGCCTCGTCTCTTTGACATTGACTGCCCAGCAAAGCCCTTTCCAAATCTCTCCAAATTCAGTTCTCTCTCACTGGCTGGGGTGGCAACAGGCTGTCCTGCACTCAGCAGGCCTCCGGTGCTACAGTCACATCTCTGACCTACTGAGCTGCATTTTGCTATGTGCATTAATCCAGCGTCTCCCCTGGTTCCTGTCCCAGGCCTTGGGCATTAATAAGTCTGTTGTTTCCAGGCAATATATGCCCATTAATTTCAGCCAGGAGCTGTTAATGCAGCCTTTCTAAGCAGGAGGGAGGAGGCTGTCTATGAAAAGAGCAAGCTTGTTGTAATTTTGTTTTGTGTTTTTAATTTATTTTTATTGCATTTTCTATTTTTCTATTTGCATATCATACATTACCATCAAGTATTCTTTCCATATAGACTTCCCAGCCTAGCCTTCCATGGCATTCATAATCTACCTAGCACTGCTGCATATCCATATATTAATCAACCCTACTTTTTCCTTTCTAGTCCTTCTTTGTATTTAACAAAGAGAATTACCACTACTTGTAGCTTCGCTTTAGTATCAATTTTTCTTAAGTGCTTCCCAAAGGTATCCCATTCCATCCTGATAACTTATTTTGGCTGCCATGCTCACGAGTTTGCCCTATTCTGTCAATTTATACAGCCATTGTGGATTTGTTGGTATTTCTTTTTCTTTCCGACTTTTGGCATAAAGTATTCTGGCCCAGCTGGTTGCAATTTTGGAACCTGCTTGGCGTGGGAGCCCCTCCAGGCACTGGTGATTCTGGGAAGTGTGGCAGGAGGAGGTGCTCTGGGCTGGCAAGGTGCCTATGTGTGGTTGGACAGGTAAGGCAGTCTCCACCAGACAGGGACAGGAGACAGCTGTGTGCTCCACAGTGCCGTGATGTGCATCCATTTGCATGCATGTGTATTAGCGGCAAAGCACCTCCACCCACAAACCCCATAAGCCAGAGAGATTTAATTGCAGAGACCTGGGAAACAATAACTGGCACAGACAAAATAGTACGTAACTGAACACCCCCAAAAGTAGGGTCAGTGATTATTAGTGCTGGAAACTAGAAAATTAGAGCTGTCCTAAGTAACAGCAAAGGGACACGGGTGGCGCTGTGGGTTAAACCACAGAGCCTAGGACTTGCTGATCAGAAGGTCGGCAGTTCGAATCCCTGCAACAGGGTGAGCTCCCGTTGCTCAGTCCCAGCTCCTGCCAACCTAGCAGTTTGGAAGCACATCAAAGTGCAAGTAGATAAATAGGTACCGCTCCGGAGGGAAGGTAAATGGCATTTCCATGCGCTGCTCTGGTTGGCCAGAAGCAGCTTAGTCATGCTGGCCACATGATCCAGAAGCTGTATGCCGGCTCCCCCAATAAAGTGAGATGAGCGCCGCAACCACAGAATCGTCCGCGACTGGACCTAATGGTCAGGGGTCCCTTTACCTTTTAAGTAACAGCAAGTACTGCATTCTGTATACCAGTGTTTCAAGGACACAGGGCAAATGGTAACTGCAGCCATTGGGGGTGGGGAGGGAATTTAATAACATTGCAAAAGTAGCAAGCCAATGCCAGATGATAAAATCCAACCAACAAAAAACACACAAATGCTAAACCCACTACATTACCTGTTAGAATGGAAAAAGTCCTTGTCTGGCACTGAAATGAAATCAGGGTAGGCAACAGACAAGCATGCCTTTGGAGAGCATTCTAGATATGAGGAGTCACGACTGGGAAAACCACCTTCTTTCTGTTCACCTCCTGTCTGACTTCTGCTGTTGAGAAGATGTGTTGGAAGTTCAACAGCAGCAATCATTCCTTTACTAACCTAAGGGTTAATTCTGTTGACTGTTAGTCAGCCAACCAAGAGGTGGTGGTGGAGTTGTTGCCTAGCAAAAAATCAGAATGAATGATCCTTGCTTGCTACCCTGACTGAGGTGTTAACTACTGGATGTGCAGTTCTGAAGGAGTTTTCCCCTGTGTGTGTTGTTGAATACATTTCTGCCAGGAGCAGGATTTCAACCCTGTGAAATAAACCCTGTTTATTTCTCCTTGGACTGTTGGGATTGGGCAAGGCTTTCCTGAAACCTGCCTGTGGATATGCCAAAGACTGCTTTGACCTTTGGGGGAGTCACACCATTGGTTCCTCTAGCTCAGTATTGTCTGCACTGACTGGCAGTGACTTTCCAGGGTTTCAGGAACAGGCACATCCCCAGCCTCACCTAGAGATACTGGGAAGTGAGCCTGGGATCTTCTGCCTGGGCCTTTCCCCAGCTATGAGGAACCCTGGAAGATCTCTTCTATGGAGCCAGGCCATTGGTCCACAAAGATCACTATCATCATAGACACTGGCAGTCACTCGCTGGCATTTCAGGCAGGGATCCTCCCCGGCCCGACCTGGAGATGCCAGGCTTTGGAGCTGAGGCCTTCTGATCAATGCGCAGCCCTTTTCCATTTCGCTTGATTTAGGAATAAACCTGGCTGCCAGCTCCACAATCAAGCAATTTAAAGCCTGCTGAGCGTCCTTTTCTTTTTAACCACTCTAGGAATACAGGTCCATCGGTCCATCTAGTTTAGTACAGTCACTGGCTCTCCAGGGTTTCAGGCTGGATGCCTTCCCAGCCATAGCTGGGAATGCCAGGAATCAGACCTGAGGCCTTCTGCCAGGCCGGGGCTCTAGCCCTGAGCTGTGGCGCTTCCTCTTGAGCCACCTTGGTTAGGTGTATGGTGAGATGCTACTCTAATGTCTTGGGGTTGGAAGGGCATCTCTTGGGGGAGGCAGCAGTTAATTCAGAGGCCTGAGGTCCCCTCTTCAAAAGCACCAAGGAGAAAGGTAACATCAGACTCATTCTGAAAGCAGATAGCCTAGTAAAGATCATGGATGCATGTGCATATGAGAACACATGTGGAGAGAAACGGCACTGGGGGGGAGGTATAGGGAAGGCTACACCAGCCTGGTACCCTCCAGATGCCAGTTGGCAAAGGCTGGTCTAGGCTCTTGGGCATTCCTGGGCCCCTCATTCCTGGGCTTTTTTTCGCACAGCGTCAACCAGCCTGGCATCCTCCAGATGTTTTGGCTAGCCTGCCATGGGTCATGCTGGCTGGAGCTGATGGAGGTTTTAGCCCAAAGCCTCTATACTTCTGTGATTCTGACTCTGTGTGATTCTGTAAGAGGCACCAGGTTGGCAAAGGCTGGTCTAGTGCCGCTGCATGGCGCCCACCGGATGAATCTTCCCGCTGCCCCACACCAGTTGCTAAGCAATGGGATTAAATGCTGCTAAGTCCTGCTGCCTCAGTCCCCACTGATCCTGTCAAGGCCAGCTAAAATTCTCCCACAGAGCCCAAAAGGATTAAGGAGCTGAACTCTTCCACCTCCTTCCTGTAGCCCAGGCGCCAGCAACACTCACAGGCTAAGCAGGATCAGCCAACACGATTTGGCAGGGAGGCTAATATAGAGGCACAAATCCAGCAGAGGGTGCAAAGGGTCACAGAGGTGTAGCTAACAAGGCCCCTTCTTTCGCCAGCCCTTGGCACATAGGCTGTGGCATTGCCAGCCGCTGCCCTGCATTAAGGAAGTGACCTCACAACTGAGCTTCCCACCATTCTCGGGAAGAAACACTGGAGGGAATAAAAGAAAGAAAACGCAAAGACCTGCTTCACACAGGACACTCTTACTCCATGAAACCTGCTGCCACAAGAGGTGGTGACTTTGGCCAGGAGCTTAGATAAAGCCAGTGTGGTACAGTGGTTAGAGTGTCGGGCTGGAACCTGGGAGACCAGGGTTCAAATCCCAGTGCATGTGACCCTGGGCCAGTCACTACCTCTCAGCCTGACCTACCTCACAGGGTTGTTGTAGGGGGTTAAACAAGGACCAGGAGAACTATGTACATCACCCTGAGCTTCTTGGAGGAAAGGTGGAATACAAAAGTGATAAGTAAAATTAATAATAAATAGTGTCAGAGGTCTATCAATAAGTACATTAGTCCTGACAACGAAATGGAACCTCCAGCATCAAAGGCAATCAACCTCTGAATACCAGTTGCTGAAGAGCTAGCAGGTGTGTCTGGGGGTTGCTGTCATGCTGTGCTTGAGGGCTTCCTGGGTGCATCTGGTCAGCCACTGTGGCAAACAGGCTTAGCGTCATCCACACCTTTGCTCTGTGCTTTCCTTGCACAGGTCTGGGTTTTCTTGGTTTAACTTTGAGCGGTTTTATTTTGTCCGGTGCTTTCCCTGAGAAAACCCGCAATTTACCACTGAATCAGAGCAATGACAATCCGAGGAAAACCTGATTACCATTTGCTTTGATTCAGCAGTAAAACACAGTTTTTCTTGGGGAAAGCACCAAGACAAACAACAACAACCCACTCAGACACAGACCTGGAAAGCCCAGACCTGTGCCTGGAAACGCAACACAAAATGGCGTGTGGATGAGCCTTGAATGGGTCTGTGGGCTGCTCCAGCAGGGCTCGTCTGATGTTCTAAAAACATGAGTTATATCCCAGAAATGGAGTTTTCTTCAGGGTTGTTAACACACATGTATTCTGCAGAGCCAGACCAAGATATCTTGCTGCCTGAGGCAAAGGATACAACACCCTATTCCCCCTGCAGATTCCAGCAGTTGACTCTTAATTCTACAGTGCACATCATTCAGCTGTTCTGAATTGAGACATCATGGATTCACAGAAGCTGCCCTGGCTTTTGTTTGACCTCTGTGATGTCCCGCTTCTGCCACCTCACCTTCTCTGAGTCAGCTATGGCAGCCTCCACCAAAGGCTCCACCGCCATTGAGAAGGCTTCACCGAGAAGGCTTCACGCTAGCCCACAAGAAGGCTAAGGCCTAGCCACAGCAGTGCAGAGAAAATCCATGAAAGTAAGCCTGTGGTGGGGTGGGGCGTGACAATTGGGCGGATGGGGAGGAGAGAGAGTGCCAGATGTCCTGCTTTCCCACCCCAGAAAGTCGGACAGTATGAACTGGCAACAGCAGAACAGCCTCCTCCCCTGGAACTCAGGGGGCATAGAGGACGAAGTGGCACACCCTTAGTCCGTCATGACACTGGAACCAGGAACATCGGATGAAGCTGAATGTTGGAAGAGTCAGGAGAGACGAAAGCAAATACTTCTCTACACAGCACCCTCCCTCAGGAGGCAGTGATGGCCACTAACTTGGATGGCTTTAAAAGAGCATTGGACAAATTAATGGAGACAAAGGCTACCAATGGCTACTAAAGTGCTCAAATTCTGCTTGCAGGTTTCCCATGGGCATCTGGTTGGCCACTGTGAGACAGGATGCTGGACTAGAGGGGCTGCTGGTCTGGTGCGGCAGGTCCTTTCCTTATGTCATTCTGTTGTCCCTTTCCTCCCCCCACAGCACCTGAAGGGACTGCCTCCCTCTGCCAGCCCTGGAATTCTGTCACTTAGTGGAAGTTGTGTTAAGAGAAGGTGTGAATGTGAGAATGGACTGGCACAGATGTGGCTCCAGGGCAAAGCTATACTCTCTGTTCACATCTGCCTCCAGATGCAGTGCTTTCCATTGCCTAGTTTGGACAGCAGGGAGGAGGAGAATCCCTCAGTATGAAAGGCAGTGACGGAGGAAGGGGGTGCGCTGGGGGCGGCCCACCCCGGGTGTCATCCCTGAGGGGGGTGACACTTGGTGTGCCTCCTGCCCGTGACTCCAAGCATACCCCAGTCGTCGGGGGAAGGAGGCAGCTGCATCCCCCTCCTCCCAATGGCTTAAGGTACGCTTGGAGTTACGGGCAGGCGGTGCGCCAAATATCCACCATTGGCGGCTCTGCCTCCATGCGCGGCTTGCTCCACCTCTGGCTGCAGGGCATGTGTGCCACTCCAGGCACCCAAGCAGCTATCCCGCATCTGGGAGGGCACCCTCCGTGCCCCTCAGGAGCGCGTCCGCCCTGGGCTCCACCGCTGATGAAAGGCCCCACCTCACAGTCTGTGGCTAGCTCGACTGGGCATACATTCATGGGAAACAGCTCAATAAGACTCCAGTGTACACTGTTCCACAGAAAACGACAATGAGTGCTCCACATTCCCAACTGTTTCCCCAAAAGGCCATTTCCTATCCCACACACTCATTTTTTGGGGTGTGTGCACATGTGATCCCAAAAAACTGGTGATTCCAAAAAACTGGAAGGTTTGATCCAGCAGCCGTGGCAGGAGAGAAACCTGTCTGGGGGAATCTGGAAGGAAACCAGTTCTCCTGCCCCGATGGCACATGGCAACCAGCCACGTGCGGGCAGAAGAGGGAGGGAGAGAGAGAGGCCTGCGTTGGTGGAGGGAGTTATCCAAAATGGCCCCGGGCACTTTCCCAGGTGGCAGCAGGGAAAAGTGAATCTGCTTAAGAGGGGGCGGAAATTGGTGTGACAGGAAAGAGCAGGGAAGTGGCTCTGGGCGGAAGCAACAAGGCCTTTCACCTCCACAAGGAAAGGGCAAGAGTGAAGCAGCAGCTGCGACAGGCCCAGCAAAAGAGGCTCCTTGGCCAGTTGGCCTGTTCAGCGCAGGAGCCTCAGGCAGCAAGGAGAGGCTGGCCTTTCTGCTCCCCTCTTCCGTCACGCTCACACAAGGCCTGTAGAAGAGGGCACCCCCAGCTCTGCCAACAGACAGTCCAAACGGCAGTTTCTCTGACAGGAAAGAAGGCCAGGCCAGGCCACTCTTGTGCCCTTAATAGAAGTTTGATGTGCATAAAACAGCAAGGGAGACTTTTCTTAGCCAAGGGAGAGTCATTGCTCACTGCATTTATACAACTCCTTTCCTCCAAGGAATTCAAGGCACTGCACATGGGTCTATTCCCTCTGTTTTATTGTCACAACAACCTCTTGAGGTAGGTTGTGGCAACAAATAGTGACTGGTCCAAAACATCTGCAGGGCACCAAGTTGGCAAAGGCTGCCTCAGACCACACACGGGGACCAACACTTCATATACACTATCGTAGAATCATAGACTTGTGGAGATGGAAGGGACCTCAAGGATCACTTAGTGTAGTCCAACTCCCTGCAATGCATCCATGACAGGTGGCCATCCAATCTCTGCTCCAAGGAAGGAGAGTCTGCTATCTCCCAAGGGAGTCTGTTCCACTGTCGAACAACTCTTACTGTCCAAAAGTTTTTCCTGATGTTAGTCAGAATCTCCTTTCTTGTAACTTGAAGCCATTGGTTCGAGTTCTATGCTCCAGAGCAGGAGAAAACAAGCATGCTCCATCTTCCATGTGACAGCCCTTAAGATATCTGAAGATGGCTCTCAGATCTCCTCTCAGTCTCCTCTTCTCCAGGCTAAACATACCCAGCTCCTTCAACCTTTCCTCATAAGACTTGGTTTCCAGACCCTTGATCATCTTGTAACCCTCCTCTGCACACGTCCCAACTTGTCAACATGCTTCTTAAATGATGGTGCCCAGAATTGGACACAATATTCCAGATGTGGTCTGATCAAGGCAGAATAGAGTGGGACTATTACCTCCCTTGATCTGGACACTAGACTTCTGTTGATGCAGCCTAGGATAGCATTAGCTTTTCTTGCTGCTGCATCACACTGTTGACTCATGTTAAGCTTGTGATCAGCCAAGACCCTGAGATCCTTTTCACATGTACTGCTAGTAAGCCAGGTGTCCCCCATCCTATATTTGTGCACCTGGTTCTTCCTGCCTAAGTGCAGAACCTGACATTTGTCCCTACGGAAATTCATTTTATTAGCTTACGTCCAGTTCTCCAATCTTAAAGTCATTTTGAATTCTGATTCCGTCTTCTGCTGCATTATCTATCCCTCCCAGTTTGGAATCACCTGCAAATTTGATTAGCATCCCTTCAATTCCTTCATTCAACTTGTTTATAAAGACATCTTGCAACAGCCCTGTAAGGTTGGCTAGTGTTATATCCATATATTAGAGAGGAGCTTGTCAAAGGAGGGTGGCATTTCCTGTCTGTCCACTACCCTGACTCCAATACTGTAATATCATTTTCCGTTTGGGGACTGCTCCCCAAACCTCTGTGGAAGCAAATATGCGGCTTAGCTTTTTCCATGCAATGTTTAAGATGCCTTTTAAGACCTGGGTGTCAGCCAGGATCAGCCCAGCCCAGCCTTTGGTCTGTCTTCATGAACTTCCTATCTACCTTCCACCCAGGCTGAGGTCTGGGATGTGTCACAGGGTTTCATGGTCTCCTGCTGCTGGTAATTACACAGCAGAGCAAGGCTTGTTTTCTTGATCACTGTCAGGTTAAAAGGCTGCCATTATTTCCCAATACTCAATATTCAGTACTTTATTATTATTTTAAAGAAAGCATGACCTTCTTTCTCTCCCCTGCAGAACTAGTTACACCTAAACCAGGAAACAATTTTCTTTGTTGTTCAGCTCTGAGTATTTTCCCACGCCGCCTGTCTGGTGTGGCAGGGACAGGAGTTTTGCCTTTGAAAACCCGGAAAAATTCATTTCCCTACTAGGCACCTTACAATTCCAAGCAAGTATGGCCTTTCCAGCCCAATGGGACTTTACAGCTCGGCAAATGTGTTTGCAGCAAAAGGCTAGTGGATGATAAATATTCAGGTGCTCCAGCGCAATGGGGGCTCCCCCAGGACTCTCTGCAAACATCCATCAACTGAAGTCCTATATTCCGAGTCCTTTCAACACACAATTTAAGGCTTGCATTCATTCCACAATTGTTGTATTGGTCTTCCCTTTTGTTTTATGGAGGTGCCATATTTTCTGAGCACACAAAGTGCATCATTTTGTAATTATTATTTTTTTAATACAAAAGCCCACGGCAAGGGTGGGTGATCAAGAGTGGGTGATGGGCGGAGTCTTCT